GGGGGCCCGCGGAGGTGACCCCGGCCGCAGCCTCGCTCCCTGCCCTGGGCGCGGAGGACCTTTGGCCCGCCGGCAAGCGCTCCTCCCCGCTCCTGGCTCCGGAGGCCGAGCTTGGGCACCGGCTTGCCGGCGCGGGCAGCGTTGGCCGAGCGCGGCGGGCGATTTATCCATTAAGAAAAAGGCGTGGGGCGGGTTGGCCGGGCTGTCGTGCTGACTTGAAAAACTGGACCGAGGGTAAATTATACAGCGTCCAGCTGATACATACCAGGAAGTTGCACGCGAGCCAGTTTGTATTTTTTGGTTTTAGCAATTAAGACTTAACAGTTTAACATCATCACCGTCCAGGACTGCTCTAGACCTTTTAAGTCCCTCTTCTGAGCTTGGCGTTTAGGTGTACGTTTTGAAAGTAAGACTCTTAAAATGACTTGAGAACATTGTTTTTGTTTGTCAAATATTAAGAGACGCAGTGTCCTTACATTGCCCCCGTTGCTTTTGCTTTGGTCTCATTATAACCTCTTGCTTCAGCTTCCTGTAGCTGGGCCTCTAGGTGCACGTGCCTTATTTCATCTGTGTTTTTGTAACTATTTTTTTCTTCTACCCAGATTGTTTTGGATTTTTCTGAGGGGTTGTTTGAGAGAAGTACACACATGCCTTGTCTCTCGCTCTTTTTTTTTTTTTTTTTTCTTTTTTTTTTTGTCGTTTTGAGACAGGATCTCTCTTTGCGGTCCAGGCTGGTCTTGATCTCACTTTATAGCCCAGGCTGATCTTGCAATGATCCTCCTGCCTCAACCTCCAAAGTGCTGGGATTGTAGGCATACGCCACCACACCCAGCTGCCTTGTATCTTAACTGTCCATCTGAAAAGGAGAAAGAAAGCCAAACAGTTGTATAGGATGGATTAGTAACTGTAATCAAGTAGTCAAGATCATAACTGTGAGTGTGATAATTTGGATTAGTCCTTCATGTCCTTTTTAAAACTTACTTAGTATGAAACTTACAACATTTGGGTTATTTTCTTCTGTTGTTCAGCTAACTTTCCTGATCAAGTAGTAGATAACCTTCCAGCTGACATATCCACTGGTATTTATTATGGTTGGGCCAGTGTTGGAAGTGGAGATGTTCATAAGATGGTGGCGAGCATCGGCTGGAACCCATACTACAAGAATTTGAAAAAATCCATGGTAAGAATGCTTTGCCCTATAACTGAAAATGGGATGATGAGTCATTTGTAGTATTAGATGCACATAGAATTCATCTGTGGCAGGCACAACGTAATTCAAATCATGAAGTGTTTTGCAGCACATTTAAAAGACAAATATGAAGTACTTAGTCACTACTGCATTTGAAGTGCCTTTTTTTTCCCCCAATACTTTCAGCCTCTTGGTCTAAAGTGAATTTCTTATAAACAGCCTAGAGTTGGATCATATTTTTTTTCCTCAGTGTTGCACATTGAACCCAGGGCCTCAAGTATGTGCATGCTGCACTCCTGAGCTACATCACTAGTCATTTTTATTTTTTGTTTTTCTCTTGAGATAAGCAGGGTTTCACTAACTTGCTCAAGCTGGCCTGGGACATACAATGGCTGTGGGGTACCTGCCTGGCTGCACCACTTGTCATTTATTCTGCCATTCTCTGCCACTTTATTGGAGCGTTTAATCCATTTACTGTCATCCTCATCTTCGTGTTCTTCATGTTTGTCGTCGGCGGCGGCTTCTTCCTCCTCCTCTTCTTCCTCCTCTTCCTTCCTCTTCCTTCCTTTTCCTCCTTCCTTCTTCCTCCTCCCTCTTTTCTCCTTCCTCCTCCTTCCTCCCTCCTTCCTCCTTCTTCCTTCTTTCTTCTTTCTTTTTTCTTCTTCGACAGGGTTTTGCTATGCCGTTCAGGCTGGCCTTGAGCCCATTTTGTAGCCCAGGCTGGTTTTGAACTCACAGAGACCCTCCTGCCTCAGCCTCTTGAGTGTTGGGATTGCAGACATAAACCGCCATGACTGGCTAATCCATTTACATTTAAAGTCATGCCGATGAGGGGTGTTCATAAACATTTTTAATTTTTGTTCAGTTCCTCTTACTGCCTTTTTTTTGAGACAAGGTCTAGGTGTGGAGTTTAGGCAGGTCTGGACTCACTGTGTAGCCCACCCTCGCCTCAAACTCATGGCCGTTCTGCCTCACCTTCCAGATGCTGGGATGGTCGGCACATGCTGCCATGCCCAGCTGCCCTTTTTCTGGTTGATGATTCTCAAGACTGAATGCAGGGTGTTTGCTCTGAGCTACCTCCTCAGTTCTTTTTACAAAAACAAGCTTGAAGTGCTATCCTTTAGTTTAAGACTCCTCCCAGTTCTGGGATTACTGACATGCACCCTTATACTGGACTTTTAGTTACCCTTTATGTTTTTTTAAATAGTGGCGCATTTTGATTCCTTTTTCATTTCTACTTACAAATTTTCTGTAGATAATGTCTTTGTAGTTACCAAGAGGATTACACTTAGAATCCTTAAACTTTAAAAGTGTAATTTGAATTCATATAATTTTAACTTCAACAACACCTAGAACTCACAGATGGCATACATTGTATACCCAATAGCATAGATTGTTTTTATGCATTTATTTTTCAAGTCATATGTAGAAGATAAATGTGAAGTGACAAACTGGCACTGTAATAATAGCTTCATAGCTGAGTGTAGGGACACACACTTGTCATCCCAGCAACTCAGAAAGCCGAGGGAGCAGGATCACAAGTGAGGCCAGCCTGGGCAACTTAGCCCCTGTATCAAAATGAAAAATTAAAGGGCCCTTGCCCCAGAACCACCGCCACAAAAAGTGATAATGCTGTTTTAATTGGTTATGTATCTCTATTTATTGAGGATAAAAGTAAGGTATTTAATAAAACCATCATTTTTCATAAACTTGAGCTTGTCACAGTGCACTTCAGCGTTTCATTACTTGATTGTCTTGTTAAGTCAAACTACAGAGATTGTGCAACTTTTTGTGTGTGTTGTGTTGCTAGAGAGCAAATCCTTGACTTAAACACAGTCGTGTGGGTGTGTTAAGCAAAACTCTCAGTTCTACAGTCTCTAATGCTATACTTCCGACTCCTGTTTTTAAATTCTCAAGCACGGTGTACTCCTTTTCTCTCCTACTTTCAACTTTTTTCACAAGATTTCTGCAGTTTAAATGTTTTGTTGGATTTGACTGAATCCTTTCTAAGCGTCAAGTGTATGTCAAAAACAAATTTGCAATGATTTAAATTTTAACTTCCTTGTAAAGTTAATAAGAAATGTTTGTCATAGTTGAGAAACTAAAGCTAAGTGCTGGTATAAGCAGTAACAAAAACCCGTAACTCTAGTATTTTGCTCAGTATTTCACTTCTGAATATGAGGGATGATGAAAATTACTGGAGGAGATAAAAAATGAATAAAGATGAGGAAGGAAAAAAAAGTGAAGGGAGTTTATGCCATGACTGATTTTTCTTGTGAGCGGAGTAGATAACAGAAATAATGCCGTTGAGCCAGTTAAAGAATGCCTTAGAAATCTGTTAATAAGAGAAATTCATTGTTTCACTGATACATTTCAGGCTTTTCTTTTTTCTTTCTTTTTTTTTTTTTCTTTTGCTTTGCTAGTAACAGAGACTCTGTGATTCCTATTCGAGTCTTGTACTCTTATTTTAGAAATTGCATTATCTTTATTGTCTTAAGGAAGTTCTTAGTATAGTCTAGGTACAGTTTCTTTGTTTGAACTATGAACCATGTATTATGAAATCTGGAATTTCTTCTATTTCATGTTGTGCTTTTTTTTTTGTTTTTCGTGTTCTGTAGGGTTGGGGATTGAATCCAGGGCTGCAAGCACTCTACCACTGAACTACATCCCCCATCCAAAAAATTCTTAATTTTAGTATAATCCAGTTTATTATTTTTCTTTTATGGTTAATACATTTGATTTCCCAT